GCGGAGCAGGAGAGAAGAGCGCCGGGAAAAACCGGTTTCTTTGTCCGATTCCCCGACTCGACAATCGTCCTCTGCTATGTGCGTCTAGCACCCCCAAGTTTTTCGAGGGAGGATACAAATCCAGGAGGCGACGTCACACCGGACTCTGATTTTTGCTATTTCGAAAGTTTGCAATCGCGTTAAAAAATATGTTTTACGATTCCCGTTATTAAATGTTACAGAAAAGTCGCCTACAAAGCTTCTAAATTTCATGATTTTTGACATCAACAATGAAAAGAAGTGAGGAGGTGAGCAGCGGGAGAGAAAAACAACAAAAATAAAAACAAATGTGCGCGCACGCAGAAAGTTTTTTTTTTTTGCGTGTCATGACTACAATATGCATCGTTTTAGGTAATAAAAAAAATATGACCTTTCGCGTGTCAGTGCCCCTTTAAGGACCATTCACGCACTCCCATCTGCAACCGACCAAGACAAGACCGGTTTTCAAGCATCCTGTGACTACTTACGACCAGCTGCACAGCAGTGCAGAAAGTTGTGAGCCCTTGCACGAGGCTTAAAAACAGTTTTCTCGGGTCATAAGCAGTCACAAGCGTGTGAACCAGCTGTTACTTCAGTGCCAAAATCCACAGCAGCTGAAAGAAACAACAGTGTAAAAGTTCAAACTTACGGATCAACCGCAAGGCACTCCGCATGTGCGCATTTGGTTCTTGCAGATAAATTCTTATACTGACCAAAGCTTTTGGGGCATTGTTTACACTTGTAGGGTTTCTAAGGGAAGACGAAGGTCTATTCGTGCTTAAGTTCAGTATATAGATGTATTTCTCAGTGGTGATTTCAAATATGCAATTAGTTTTCAGATAGCTTTAGTATACCCTGGGTTATCAATAAATATCAAATTTTAACCCATTAATGCCCCATGTTGCATATCTGCAACACAGACTTCAACTGCTCAAGAAAAATACATCGGGCCCATTTTGTGACAAAAAGTTGTCAGTGCTCTTCTCAGTGGGCATTTCTCAATCCAAGGAGTTCAGATTTTCACCACTAGGGGCAGCGCTGTGCTCGCAGGAATCGTTTGAAAATGGCGTCCTCCACGCCGTGCGGGAGTTCTCAAAACCAGGTATGTTTACATTTCCACAAAGAACCTAAAACTGAAAATAGGAGCTCTATATTACCGGAGGAGCCTCTAGGAATGTCCTTCGCGTGAATCGCATGCAGAATCTCGCATTTCATACATTATATGAAGCTGGATATTTTTTATTCCTGGCATGTTGCAAATGTGCAACAGTGGGCAGTGAATGTCACTTCACACGGTTGTTGCATATATGCAACATTCGCTTTTTTTTCAATTTTCGCTACAATTTTGTTGTTCGGTTAGGTAATACCTTTCAGCTGTCATTTCGGGATGTTGTTTCACTCTTGGTAATTTGTTCTTATCCCATCTACAGGCCGTCATTGCACCTTCAGCCTTCTATGGTGTGCCAAGGACAAGACCAAAGCGGTTCCTTGGAAATGACAACCTGCTGGACAACATCGATTGCAACGAGAGTGATCTCTCGGGTGAAAGCAGCAGCGAAGAATGCGAAGCAATCACTGAAGATAGCAGCGATGAAGACGTCGAGAGCACTGACGCTAATGTTGAGACAGGAGTTGCTAAGGGGGACCTGAAAGGAGCCTATGCGAACAAACGCTACACATGGAAAAAATGTGCGTTTGACCAAGCTGGCACAGACTTTGAAAATGACTTCCCTCTGCCTCCTGCTGAACCCCTGTCAGCGAAGCAGCTTTTTGACCTGTTTGTTTCGAGGAGCATGCTGGGACACGTTGTCGAAGAAACCAACAACTACTATATGCAGAAGCACGGAACACCCCTAAACATGACAGTCGAAGAGCTCACCTCGGTTCTAGGAATGTTTTTTCGCATGGGACTTGTGGATATGCACAATGTACGTGCCTACTGGGAACATGGAAGCCGCTATGAGCTGGTTGCACAGGTGATGTCGCGCAATCGATTTGAGAAGATTGCTGGTCACTTGCATTTTGCTGACAACGACGGTGCAACAGACGAAGTGAAACAAGACAAATGCTGGAAGCTGCGACCATGGCTGTCAGCACTGCGGGGAAACATGCTGAAAATACCTCAGGAATGCAAGTCATCCGTCGACGAAATTTTGATTCCTTTTCGTGGAAGGTCGCAAATTCGTCAGTACCTTCCAAACAAGCCGAAGTGCAAGTGGGGCCTCAAGCTCTGGGCTCGTGCTGGCGAGTCTGGACTTTGTTACGACTTTGACATCTACCAGGCATGCAGCAAGGGAGCCTACGGAGACCAAGAAGGATATCAGTTAGGCCTTGGTGCGGGAGTGGTGCTTCAGTTGTGTTCAAGTCTCCCTGAACGGGACAACAATCTCATCGTTGCTGACAACTTTTTCACGGGACCACACTTAGTTTGCGAGCTAACGCGGAGGGGTATCTCGTACATTGGAACTGTGAGAGAGAACAGACTGCAGTCGTGCAAACTAATGGATGAGAAGGCAATGAAGATGCAAGGTCGTGGCACGTGTGATTCATGTGTCGCATCATGTGGTGACAGAAGCATGATAGCTGTAAAGTGGTTCGACAACAGACCGGTCACACTTCTTTCTAACTGCACTGGTGTGGAACCGGTCACCTCTGTAGAGAGATGGGACAAGAAAGAGAAGTCTCGCATCTCAGTTGAATGTCCAGCAATTGTACCCGAGTACAACAGATCGATGGGTGGTGTTGACCTACTAGACAAGATGTGCTACAGCTACAGGTTTTCCATACGCTCGAAGCGGTGGTACATGTACATATTTTGGCACACCGTCAAAATTGCTGCTGTGAATGCGTGGTTTCTGCACAAGCGTCACTCACTGCAGCAAAGGGAATCTTCCAAGCCTCTGCGAGAATTTCTTGCGGACCTTGCCACGAGCTTGGTTTTGTACAGGAAGCGTCCGCCTGGCCGCCTTTCTCGAGAGAATCTTCCCTTGGTGAAGCGGGCGTCACCACAAGTTCCACGCGACGTAAGAGGCGATGGTAGCCATCATTGGCCCATTTGGATGGACCGCCGCAACAGATGCAAGTTGTGCACAGGAGGCTACAGCTACGTCGCTTGCTCAAAGTGCAATGTTCACTTGTGCATAAACAAAGACCGGAATTGTTTCGTCGATTTCCATCGGGGTTAGGTAACTTATCCATGCTAGGAAGCACGTCTTTCTATGTTTTGTTCATCACTGCTGTGCCTTGTTTGATAAAATAAACTTCTTATATATGGCTAATATTTTGAGATATTCACTTACTGCCCAGTGTTGCAGATATGCAACAAGCTATAGTAGACAATTCGTAGCACTTATGAAATTTTTTTTGGCCCCTGTGTCTATATTTATGTTCAGTGACCCTGTATTCAATATATTTTTCAAATACTCTCACTATTTTTTGCACTGGGAAGCAATGGGTTAATTAGGTCCTCTGTACGGGTCGTTACAGCTGTTAAGACTTTGGGACTAATTAATTAAAATTATTGTATAACTAGGGTTCGGAGTTTTCGGTTTAAACCAATAAAAACCGATAAAAGTATGCCGAATCTATGTTCGGAAATTTAGTTTTAACCGAAAAAGGTCAGTTTTTAGGTTCGACATTTTTTATTTAAGGGGAGACATGGGTCTTCGGAGCCAAAAACGTCCTAAAACTGAATTCTTTCGAAAATGGTGATGGCTGTTGTTCTTTTGAATTCACCAGGCTTCTAATTTCATGGATGAATATTTGGGCTATAAATCTCTCAATAATGTCTATCTGGGCTGAATGTGCATTGAAGTTGGCTCTGAAACATTGTTTTCACAAGACACAATTTTTGGACTTGTTGAAAATTTGCAGGAGGGATATCTGAGCATCCAGAGCAGATAGAAATATACCTTTCCTGAAATGTGTAGCTAAATGTGTGAAGCATACAATGTTGAAAGCAGATTTCCTAATATAAGTCTAGAAATTTTTCTATTTGATTTTTTGTTTTATTACTTGTTAGCCATGCATTGAGCACTGAACTTTAATGTGTGGTAAAATCATTAATAGTGGGTTTATCTTAAAAGTACTTCCAACATTGTATGCTCTACACTTTGTAGTATCTAGCCATGTGTTAAAAAGGATATTTTGTTGAGCAGTTTTTTTTCCTATCATTCCTCTAAACAAAGGCAGGCAAGTTTTAATTACCTTGAGGACAATTCTACTTACTGAGAAAATGACCAGATATATGAAATCAGCACAAGAAGCTGAACAAGCTTGTGCAGTTTCAATGGGTTTGGTCATAGAATAAGAAAAAAAAGCTCCAAGACCAGTGTTCCCCCTTAAACCGATAAAAACCGACAAAAGTACGTCGAACCCATTTTCTAAAATTCAGTTTTTACAGGAAAAGGTCAGTTTGACCTTCCAGTCGTACCGCAGAGCCGTGGCAAAAAAGTGGAACGACAGTGTCTATCGAAACGTGTCCGAATGTACGGGATACACGGATGCCATCATGACGTTTTGATTTAATGTGCACATCATCGATCAAAACGTGAAGTCCGAATGCCCCATGACTCCGCCATGTACGAGCGTGTTTTCAAACTCGTAAGGAAGACTGACTTGATGCAAGTTCTGCATCTTGTGTTGTACTTCAAAACATCGCACCATGACTCTTTCGGCGGCCGCAGTTGGTTGATTGGCCGATTTTGGCTCAGGCTGCGCTTCATTTCAGCCTGCCAGTGTCCAGTGTTAGCGTTGAGAGGGAATTCTCGAAGCTCAGGGTCATATTATCAGGAAAGAAAGAGTGCGGATCAATGAGGAGAACCTGGGAAAGTACATGTGTGTGTACTCTAATAATAAGATCACGTAATCCTGATGTACAGAAGGTGAAGTTCCATGTTTTTTTGGGCATAGGCTTCATATCCGACTTGTCCGTAATTGTTTTTTTCTTTTTTTTTTTTTTACAGTTACACTCATTTGCCAAATAAAGTGTCCCTTTCTTTTTCAATGTATCTGTGCCGTTTTTCTTTGAGTGATCACAAATATCAGAGCTATAAGTATCATCTGATCTGGTGTCCATTGGTACTCATTTTATATGAGTACCAAGCTGATAAAATTTTGTGGGCATAAATATATGCCGAAAAAAAAAACGAAATTCGAATTTTAAAATAACCATTAAAAAAAGTATGTTGAATTTTGAAAAAATAGAAATTGAAAATGTGGAACCATATGTATAACATACAGAGCAACAAAAATAGCATCACCACACAAAGCATGTCTGTGAATGCAATTCAATACAAATTTCTGATATATTCTGAAGGATTTTACGCTAACAACCCTAACGAGGGCCGAATTAAAATTACATATTTATTGAGAACCGAGGATCTAGCAAAGCTATCTGAAAACTAAATTCATATTTGAAATCAGCACTGAGAAATACAGCAGTATTCTACATTTCAGCACGATAAATGAAATACAATAAAAAAGTTAAAGACCCTCATTTCCCCTTAAGCACTGTTTTCGATAATGGCGGATCAGATTGGTATTACGAGAAAAGGCTTGGTGGCACTGCTTGCACTTAAATGGCTTTTCACCTGTGTGCGTTCGATTATGGCTTTGCAGAGAGGAATTTTCAGCAAAGGCCAGGGGGCACAGCTTGCACTTAAATGGCCTTTCACCAGTGTGCAAATAATTATGGCTTCTTAGATGGGTATTTCTAGCAAAGGCTCGGGGGCACTGCTTGCACTTAAATGGCTTTTCACCAGTGTGCGTTCGATTATGACTTCGCAGATCAAAATTTCGAGCAAAGGCTTGGGGGCACTGCTTGCACTTAAATGGCTTTTCACCAGTGTGTATTCGATTATGGCTTTGCAGATGGGAATTTAGAGCAAAGACTTTAGGGCAGTGCACGCACTTAAATGGCTTTTCCCCAGTATGCAAATGATTATGATAGGTCAGAAGGGAATTATAAGCAAACTTTTTGTGGCAAAGCTTGCACTTAAATGGCTTTTCACCTGTGTGTGCTCGAGTGTGGTAGATCAGATTTTTTTTCTGAGTAAAGGCTTTGGGGCAAAGCTTGCACTTAAACGGTTTTTCGCCAGTGTGAGTTCGATTATGGTTTTGCAGATGAGAATTTTGAGCAAAATCTTTGGGACATAGCATGCACTTGAATGGATTTTCACTCTTGTGTTTTTGAGTGCTGCCGAGCACTTGGGACTTAGAGCCCGACACGGAAAGATGGTGGCACTTGGATTGTTCATCACCACGGGCAGCCAGGTGGCACAAAATCAGACGCTGATCTCTGGTGACATAGGTGCAGGAACAGCATCCGAACCAGATGTCCTCGGTGACTTTCAGTGGGCAGCTGGTCTCCCCCGACAATGTGGCTCCATCACCTAGAATAAAATACCATATGTACTAATACACAAGGAAAGTCCAACCAAGACAGCCATATAATTTGAAAAAGAGTAGTCATTAATGCAGTTTTTCCACAGCTGCACAGTTCAATATTTTGCTGCACTGCGAAATTCAATTCTCGAAAGCACTCAAATGCAACTGGTACCATTAAGGAGGGTCCCCAACCTTGAAAAGTGAAAATCCTAGAAAAAAATAATATTATAGACTTTTTTATTATGATTTCTAAATCAAACCACATATTTTCTTCCTTTGGAAAGTATTCCTGTCTCTCAGAATTTTCTTGTTTCGTTTTTCTTGTCACAAGGAAGTTTCACCACCGAATTCATAGATGTGACTTCAACTGAAGCCGAACTTTGACTTGCTCAAGTTCGCCTCAACACCAAGATTGACTTGAAAATGCTCAAGCTGGCTTTTACGTTTCAGAGACACTCCTGCAAACTTCCTTCATCAAGTCCCGTTCAAGTCGCGAGCACTCGCGGTGCTCCCCACCAAGGAGCGAGATTAGGTCGCAGTTTTTATCTTAAAGGGGCACTGACACATCAAAATCATATTTTTTTTTATTATCCGAAACGATTGAAAACGATGCCGGGACATTACCCTCAAAATTTGAGATTTGGGAATTCAGTATTCGTGAAGTAAAAAAACAATTTCCAAATGCCGAATTCGAAGTTCCCGCGCGATCGGCGCCGGTGCCTTGACGTCAAAAATTGAGGAGACCTGAGAGTCCACTTCCTTTCACCACCCCCTGCTGTTGCCATGGCGACCCAAAGCGAGGAGGAAAGGAGCGAGCGCCCGGCGATGCGGCGGACCGGTTTTGAGCGGTGTCGCCTGTTTTCCGTTGGAGGATACAAATCCAGGAGACGGCACCACAACGAACTCCCGATTTTTGGTATTTCAAAAAGAAGGGCCGTAGTGCGTTCGCAATTGCGTTAAAAAACATGTTTTACGATTGCCGTAATTAAATGTTATAGAGATGTCGCCTACAAAGCTTCTAAATTTCCTGATTTTTGACGTCACCGATCAAAAGAAGCGAGGAGGCGAGAGGCGGGAAAATCAAACGCCAAAAGTAAAAAGGCGCGCGCGCGCGCGGGAAAATTTTTTTTCGCGATGCGGTTTTTTTTGCGTGTCTATGACTACAACTTGCATCGTTTTAGACAATAAAAATAAATACGACCTTTGGGGTGTCAGTGCCCCTTTAAAGGGGGACCAGCAGAAATATTCTTCCGCCTGATGGAAAGTCCTCCTCGCCCTCTTTCTATCTCTTTCTCTCTCGTATTGTAGTACGGCGAGGCGAGGGGAAAGGTCCCCTTTTGTGCCGGCTTCTTCTGAGAGGATTAGCCGAGAAAACCGCCTTTCTGAGCGACGGGCGATGGGTGCGGCAGCAGCGACCTCGCGACTTACAGGTATCTTCAGCTCCTATCGCGTAATCTGCCCTATTTTTTAGCGCTCGCCAAGCCTAGCCCCTCGGGTGCAGGTTTTACGGAGCTGCAAGGCTGCGCCCTCGCAGTCACCGAATTTGAGCTGTCGAAGTTCTTTGGTTTAGCCCGTGGCAAAATAAACGCATACTCGGGAGCTGCGATGCATCCCCGCACCCATTGAAGGAACGTTTCATAGATATTCTTGGTTGATCAAGGGGCTCAAAACACATGCGCGAGATGTGGTGAGTGACTTGAATATGTAGGGATGCTTACATCTTCACAAAACATTCCATCTTCAAAAAAACGGCTCATCACGCTCAAACCTGCCTCAAATTGGAATCGAAGGAAATGAAAACAATGTACCAGGGGTGGGCCTTTTGTAAAAGGTCTCTGTTTTCAGGCCACGCTATATTTAGTGGGAGCTCGAGCTGCTACTTCAATACATTCTCTGAAGCGCACGCCTGAAGTGGCAGCGGGCCCTTGAAAACGATTTACTAAAATGCCCTGTTGTGTGCCTAACTCGCAGAACGTGATGGCCAGCAAAATGTGTGAAATTCATATTTACACATTCCCAATAACCACCTGAGGTGAGAGGGCATCAAGGGTAGATGTCAATATTAGAAAGTTTTAGTTAATCGCTTTTAGCCATTTCGATAACCGTACGGTCTGTGCCCCACAATGAAATGTAAGCTAGACTCGCTGTTTACGTTCTTTATCGAGTGCGGCTATGGAGCGGAAAAGAATATTAAACAACTTTTTGGCGAGTCTAGCGTGTCGTGTTATGGTTCAACGTTGCTTGTATGGGTACCATAGCACAGGCCGCCACTTCGAAGTATTTGTGGTGTCTCAAAGAAACTAAAGCAAAAAAGCAGACAATTTTTTTTAACGTGACACAGAATTGTATTTAACATTGTGAAAAACTTTTAGGTACCCATAGACCAGGGATGGGCAGTATTTTAAATACAAGTATTTGAAATACGTATTTCAAATGCTTTGTGTATTTTGCATTTGTATTTAATTACAAATTGGGTAATGTATTTGATGTGTGTATTTAAATACTAAAACGTGGGTATTTCAAATAAAATTGTAATTAAATACAATTTTGTGGGCGAAAATACATCCCTCAGATTTATTGTCACTGTCCAGAGTGGGAAGAAAACTACATCCTGCACCGAATGCAGTGTCTCTCAATCAAGCACAAGCGCTTGGTGACTTTGCAATTACGGTGCTAGTCCAGGGCAAGAATAGTGACGAAATCGACGTTCACAGGCAGACTGGCTAAATAAGTGCCTGTGACAACTTGTGATGCTTTCCAGACTTATTTCCATCCGTATTTTTGCCTGGAACATTCTAAATGCGCGGGTCGTCCAGATTTTTGTAACTGGTGCGAGTTGCAACAATGAAAAAATTCTCTAGCTAGGGCTGCGCGTCTTGGTCGTCTCGGTTCTTTGTTGGTCTATGCCAAAATGTAATCGACAAAAGGAGCTGCTTGAAGCTCTGTACTTTTTTCACCTACTACGTCTAAGCTGATTACATTTTTTTTGTGACTGTACTTCTATTACGTTACTAGAGCCTCGCACACTAACTCCCGAGTGTGCAATGCAAAATTATAATGAGATACCCAGAAACCCGTTGCAGGTGCCCTGAAGTCGCTGACGCAGATTTTGCGGAATGTATTTGGAAAAGTATTTGGAGGAGACCAAATACATTTGGTTGTATTTGTATCTTGTATTTAAATACTTTTTTGGAAATGTAATTCGATTTGTAATTAAATACATTTTTGACGAAGTATTTTGTATTTGTAATTCGATACATATTTGCATGTATTTTGCCCATCCCTGCCATAGACTACGAGGGGGCATCAGAACTCGTGCCCCCCCCCCCAGGCTTGGGCCATGATCCTTACCGACATGCTGTTTACGAGTTATGTAACGAGCTTCTAGTAGTGGCATGTAAACAAAATAATGCCCACATTGCCTTTACTGACAATATACATGGGAAATGGAACCCCAGCGTGCTTTCGTTAGCTTCAATCTCCAGTTCTGGCGAGAAGCTAACGTGCAGCACCCCCCCCAAAGAACTTCTCAGCCTGTTCCCCCCCCCCCCCCCCCCCCCCTGGAAAAATGTAAAGTCTACGCCGCTGCCTTACGCCACGCAGCAGTTAGCACGAACAAACTATCGCTGCTGTTTCCCACTTTTTTTTTTTTTGTTAGAAGTGAACAATGTTTAGGAAACTGTTAATGCGAGTATTTAACCTAAGCGGCAGATTTTAGTGCGTGCCAATACATTGCTCGGAAAAATAGCAAAAAGCACCGATGTCGTGTTTGCGCTCACAGTGTCGCGTAATGTATGCATACCGTTGCACAATTTACGTTAATGGAGTGAATCGGTAAATTTAGTGACCCAAAAAAAGTGGTGTTATTTTGTTTTGTTTTTATGGTTGAAAAGTTGTTATTTTTATACAAGCAATTCGGTAAAGAGTGCTTCCATTGGACACCAACTTACGAGGCATCAATTTGTTCTCATACACAAAATTATGCATGGACCTGCGTAAAACTGCCAATATTGTTTTTGTGCTGACTGTGTCACGCACAGTAAGAAGACCAGTTCATTGCTCGAACATTTAAACAAGGCCTTCCTTACGCCAAATAGACATTTTGCCAGTACGCTCAATTACTGGTGGTTCATAAAATAATCTATGTTGTTGATTTGGAGGAAAGGAAGTGGTGGTGAGGGGAGGGGGAATTGAATACAAAGGACGACTCTAGCGAACCTCGAACTTTGTAAATATTTTGCACAACCTATAATCCTGAGTTAATTAAATTACTTTTTCTTTGTCAGTTTCAGAACTTGTTAACAGTCGCGCTAAAGGCCAAGATGAGTGAAAAGTGAGATGCCCCTGTTTATTTGAGCAAAAAGCGTATATATGCGAGATGGAACTGAAAAAAAGCATACGAGTGTAACCGTAGCAATCTCCGACCAAACCTGAACCTCCCTTTTTCTGAAACCACGGAGATGACTACTTTTGACGACTTGATAAAGCAAGCCGAAGCCGTTAATAAGTGTGACTCGTCAGCTGTGACAATCAAGGCGCCACGACGATTTCTTGAAACCTTCATCTATTAAAACAAATTGTGTAATAAATTCATTGCCATATTATGCTTGCGCTGATCTTGTAGCGGTATGCGTGCATTATGTGGCACTGTTAGCCCGAACGCGACATTGGCGCTTTTTACTATTTCTGCCCAGCAACATGTATTGTCTAGCGCCGAGCTCTGCCACTTAGGTTGGATAGTTAAATTAACAGTTTTCTAAACATCATTCACTTCCAAGAAAACAAAATTAGAAAGACCGGCGATAGTTTGTCCGTGCTAACTGTGTGGCAGTATACCTAAAATGTGTTTGCAATGACAAATTACAAACATGTTTCATGTTAAAAAAAATCGGCTACATTTGATTTATATTTTATTTCTAATGCTGCAGAAATACTTTTAAGGGGCAGCACGTGCTATAGCACCGATTTAAGCAACGTTGAACTATAACGACACGCTTCGGTAGTT